CCCCAACAGATTGAGATGGTAGGTGGGGTAACACTGAGCTAAAGTCGCCTCTTTCGCATTCCTCCCCAACAGATTGAGATGGTAGGTGGGGTAACACTGAGCTAAAGTCGCCTCTTTCGCATTCCTCCCCAACAGATTGAGATGGTAGGTGGGGTAACACTGAGCTAAAGTCGCCTCTTTCGCATTCCTCCCGAACAGATTAAGATGGTAGGTGGGGTAACACTGAGCTAAAGTCGCCTCTTCCGCATTCCTCCCCAAAACCCATCTGTCAGCTTCTGTAGAATAGCTCATATTCCTGGCACTACAAATCTCCATCATTGCCAATCTAGACACTTCCTCGTATTAAACATACATCCAATTCACTGTTATAAAGTTATTATAGATTAGGCCAACTATTGACGCACCTCTACAGTGTTTAGTTTTACAGTGTTTCAGGCTCTCCCTATACATTGTGTATGAAACAATAGGGAGTTGCCAAGGACCGCGACCCTGGCATGCGGTGACAAGAACAATAGTGCTGATCACACGTGTTGTCAGGGCGGATTTTCAAACTGGGCAACGTAGTTTGGTAATAGCACAGGACTTGGTAATAGTACAAAATAAACACGCGCAAAAAACGAAAACCACGTGGCACCACCAAACACAGTCTCTGCACAACAATCACCACAATCCCGGCTCATTCCGGCGTATTCCGCCACTGATCGGTGTATCCCCACGTGACCCGCTTTACAGACCATGTGACCACGCTTTACAGACCACGTGATGCCTGTTCCCCTGTGGAGGGAAGACAGGCTGGCGTCCCTCCGCCTTTGTCAGGGGTTTATTCCTTCTTTACGAACCAGGGAACTACCTAACTACAATAGGCTTCAGTGCAAATCTACCACGCGCTAGTGCACAATGAGAGAGGAGGAGAGATAGAGACAATGGTCCTGATCTCCCCCAGCGCTGATCCCTCGCCGAGTAGAGTTGGGAGACCACTAGTGAGTAGTGGCGTTTAATCCGAACTAGTGCTGTGTGGAGTCGCACCCCACACCAGTTGTCATGGCAACCCACATGAGTTGTCGGGAAGGGGTGGTTCTCCACGCGTCGTTGGTTGCTATACCGACGATTAATGTCACACGTGGAGGTTTGGTGAGATTTGTAGTGAGCATTATCACAGCTTGTCTAGTCTCTATTAGTCATCAGTCTAGTTCGCTAATTAATATAATTCGATTGGATCAGTAGTTTGTTTTGTTATCAAACCACAAGCTTATTGAGCGTTAGATTAGCACTGTGCTTTGTCGTTCCTTACTGTTATAAGTAACTTAATTATCAGTGAAAGCAATGCTTGCTGCATATAATGCAATCTTTAACCAACTTTAATCTGTTTATTTCCCTTAATTAAATTTAGCCATTGTTTGTTGATCCTACAGTCAAGTTTCTCCGAGATTTTAAGATCGCTTTTAATTCGTATTACGAATTGTTTAACTATTAACTAATTACTTTATTGGGTTATTGTGGAATTAGGCTCCTGGTTGTATTTTGTAATTGCTGTATTGATTAAGCTTTCTACAGGAGCAAGCTCCGAAAGTAAAAGTAAAAGCAAAAGTTTGCAGTACCAGTTATTGGGATACACCGTACAAAATTTAACATGAAAATACACCGTGCAAAAGTGCAAAATATACCGTATGAAATAGATTTTCATCCGCATAATAATCAGTTAAAATTGAAATACGACTATATCCCGTATTTCACTTTTAACTGATTATTAATATCATGCAAATCTATTTTATGCGGTATATTTTTATAAACAAATATTTATTTTCTTATAAAGTTATAAAGTTATAACAGTCTAGAAAACACTTTTGATTTTAAATAATGCTGACTGAATTACGAAAGTCACTAGCCAGTAACTAAATCGTAAATTTTAACGAATAATTTGATAAATGACCATCGACCAAGTAGTACGATTTATCAAAATTTCATGTCCTTATCAAAATTTAAATTCGTCTCTGGATTTACAGGTTAACCTCAAAGTGTATCATAGTGAAAATGACTGTGTAATTAACGTATTAACAATTTTCACAGTGGGATAAATATCATAAGATATCATGCAAAAATTGAAAGGGTTTCTTTAATTAGTTTCGATTATGAGCACAATTGATGTTGATTGCAATCCAATTAAAAGTAGTAAAATATCTAAATATTTTGATCTTGATTGACAATATACGGTTCTTTTGCGATAGTCAAAACGCGACAACTAGCGCTGGATGGCGACAACTAGCGCTATCCAGCGCTAGTTGTCGCCATCCAGCGCTAGTTGTCGCTATCCAGCGCTGGATAACGCTGGCCAGCGCAAAATATATATGTTCGATAATTGTCGCTATCCAGCGCTAGTTGTCGCCATCCAGCGCTAGTTGTCGCCATCCAGCGCTAGTTGTCGCTATCCAGCGCTAGTTGTCGCTGGCTATGCGACACTGTCGCACGCGATAGTTTGCGATGGCCAGCGCAACTGGCCATCGCAGAAAACAGTTCGATAACTAGCGCTGGATAGCGACAACTAGCGCTGGATAGCGACAACTAGCGCTGGCCAGCGCTAAGCGATAGCCAGCGCTGGCCAGCGCTGGCCATCGATATCCAGCGCAAAATTTTTGCGCTATTACTCGTCAGCTAGCGCTGGCCAGCGCTAGCCAGCGCTAACCAGCGCTAACCAGCGCTAGCCAGCGCTGGCCAGCGCTAGTTGTCGCTATCCAGCGCTAGCCAGCGCTAGCCAGCGCTAGCCAGCGCTAGCCAGCGTTAGCCAGCGCTAGCCAGCGGTAACCAGCGCTAGCCAGCGCAATGTATCAAAATCATATACTTGCGATATTACTCGGATGATGATTAATCACTTTACACTTGACTGTCACGTGCCTTTTTTAACCCATTCTCTGACTCTAGCTGGTTCTGAACGACTTTTCGAAACCCCAACCCTCTAAGTCTAATCTGATCCCAACCCTAACCCTAACCCAATCCTTAACAAAAACATATGCTGAAACCCTAACAATAACGAGAAATTAGACTAACTTCCTTATACGGTCATATCACGTGATCGATACATGTACAGTTTTTCGCCAATATCTCGTCAGGAGAGCATTTTAACCCTATATCATGGGCCCATGGGGGTTGATTCGGAATTAGCGTCCGAAAATACATCGATTGAAGTTGGACACAACCATCGGGGGCCCTTTTAGAACAATCTCGAAGATCGACTGTAGAGTGATTTAGCACGCTCGATATTAGTATTACTCGTCAGCCAGCACTGGCCAGCGCAATATAGTTGCGATATTACTCGTCAGCTAGCACTGGCCAGCGCTGGCTAGCGCTGGTTAGCGCTGGCTAGCGCTGGCTAGCGCTGGTTAGCGCTAGCTGACGAGTAATAGCGCAAAAATTTTGCGCTGGATATCGATGGCCAGCGCTGGCCAGCGCTGGCTATCGCTTAGCGCTGGCCAGCGCTAGTTGTCGCTATCCAGCGCTAGTTGTCGCCATCCAGCGCTAGTTATCGAACTGTTTTCTGCGATGGCCAGTTGCGCTGGCCATCGCAAACTATCGCGTGCGACAGTGTCGCATAGCCAGCGACAACTAGCGCTGGATAGCGACAACTAGCGCTGGATGGCGACAACTAGCGCTGGATGGCGACAACTAGCGCTGGATAGCGACAATTATCGAACATATATATTTTGCGCTGGCCAGCGTTATCCAGCGCTGGATAGCGACAACTAGCGCTGGATGGCGACAACTAGCGCTGGATAGCGCTAGTTGTCGCCATCCAGCGCTAGTTGTCGCGTTTTGACTATCGCAAAAGAACCCAATATACAATTAAATCCACGTATAATAAACATGGAATATATCACACTAGCAAGCACTCATATCGTCAAATCAAATCAAGATCTAGATACATATCCCCCAATCACGAATTAGCACGCGGAAATGGGATTAGTACCCTGCACGGTTACTAGGAAACCGTTACTCGTTACTAAGCGGAAGCACGTGTAGGGTTGGAACCTCTCATTTGAGACGGGGGTCAGCTCCATTAGGGTCCCGTGTGTGTAACCTGAGCCTGTAACCCTGGAAACGCAATGAGGATGTGCGGGGGTGTCACGTGGGATGGGAGCTGGGTCACGTGATACTGACACTCCTAGGACAGGTTGCCATGACACTCGTCAGACTTCTCCCATAGACCTGCAATCAACCACGCTGTGTTTGTGGTTTGGGTACCTGCAGCCCTCTTTTGTTAGGTAGTGATCATTGTATCCCTGCGGTACATCGTTTTCATGCCTTCTTCAACCGTTGTAACAGTCCTCTGTTGTGTTTATTTGTAGCTCTGACTATATTGCCGCGAACAAACTGAAGTTAGCCCTGATTTACCAACTTTAGAATCTAATTTTAATCATTAATCACACTACTATTAACGTCAAATCTCAGTTAATTATAGATCCCGCAGTTTAACACTGTAAGACATATCTCGAAAGATAAAAACCCGAATGATAAACGACCCACTCGCAATATATATATGTGTTATTAGTAACTAGATCTTCCCTTGAACCAGGGCCATTGATTTAATTTATTGGTGTGACCCCTTAAACTGAGTTGCCCAGGATATACACTACTCTTTCACTTTGATCCGTCCTTACCACGATATTCTTATATTCGTGATCCTCCCAGGGTTTTCAGTTTAAAGTACCACGGCCAAAATAATCGCAATGTGATTGGTTATGTTTTTAACGAGTCCTTTTCATGGTTACAATATTGTGGATCTCTCCAATTTTTAAACACCGTTAATTCTGACCTACCCTATTACATTACTCCTCCACCTTACAATTTACATTATTTTTGCACTATATACCGTGTTTACCTGGCCCTGGCAGAGTGTACATCTCGCGCCTGCCGTCATAACTGCTCACGTGACCCGCCTAACGCGCAGCGTACCTCCTTCCCACACTCACCGCAAACAGCTCTAACATATCCCTTCTTTCTCTAGCGTTACAGTTTACATTGTCAATGTGTACCATGACCTGCCCCTCCACCCAACTCGTAATGTCGGGTTTATGCGAGACTGAGCACCTGCTCCTTCATCAAGATAACCGTGCTGATACCGATACCGTCTCCTCGTCGACCCATTCGATTGATGATATCCTGGGAAATGGAAAGGATAATAACGGACACCATTGCACTGGAGATGATGCTAACGCTGATAAAGGTAAGAGTTGTTGTTTTGATAACTGCACTTTATTCTGTTACAGTACGAAGCCTACCAAATATTTTCCATCAATTAAACATAATTCAAGTATAATTCGGTTTAATTATTCGTCAGTTTGCTAAAATTGATAACTTTGTATTAGTGTGTATGTGATGGTTGTATGTTGAAAATGCTTTATTGATTCTGTCGTCCGACATGAGCGTAAGATTTTTGTCATAAATAACACTTGCATAAATCTATTTTAGCAGAGAAAATCAGTAATGAGCTTTTTGTCCTGGTAGACTTTAGGTCGCACAAAGCCGGATGAATTCTATGCAGTCCGGATTTTTGGTATCGCACAAAAGATTCCGTTTCAAAGGGCTGGAGACAGTGAGACGGTTCCAAAACAAAACGCTGCCGACTGAAAAACCATTCCTTTTCGGCGGAATTGTGGGCTATCGAAAGGAAACGCCTTATTGTTCAAAAAATTCAGATTAGTTTTATCCTTCAGCTTCAGAGAGGATGGAAACGATTGTTTTTAATTCAAAGCACGATTTCTGTCATACATCATGGCTGGACCGAGGCTGTGCATCTCGGTTTATAATTTTTGCTTGCCACTCTATTCTTCTTCTATAATTTTAACGATATATCCTAAAAAAGTTAGCAAGTATGTACATTGTACATCAAGAAAAATTTTCAATTCCACCTTAAATTGTTTAACTTTCACATTCATGTTCAAATGTTGAATGTTAAAACCCAAATATTAGTGATTCGCCATGCCACGGCGATTAACACACTTATAATGACAAGAAGTTGCAATTCTGAGTAATTTAAATTTGTAATCAGGATCAACAAATCCCAGGCCAAATTCCAACCCAACCGACTTAAACATTCCAAACATTCAGTACTGGTGACAGCCAGGCTGCTTTAATACAGCAAAATTGAGATTTTCTTAGACTAAAATTGTCCCATAGTTTAAATTCTCACTGTTCTTAGTTATAAGCTGATGGTAGACAATAGTTTACCAGTATAACTGAAAGTGAACTATTTTCTCGTACCAAGTTGGGCCAAGAACCCACTTTTCAAGCCTCGTAAAAGTGAACTTTCTACGTGCAAATAGAGAAATAGGCAAATCAGGGAACTTTGGAGTAATTATCCGATTATCTGAGATGAAATTATAATTGCCTTTCAATTATAACTCTTGCCTGTTTTATTAAATGGACATAATATTGATTTGCTCCCAATCAATTGAATATTTACAGAAAATAAGTAACTGAAATTTAAGTTGTTAAGTTAACTTACTTACGGAAGATGTAATATATATGGAAAATATCGCACATTTTAGTTCCAACCCTGCGAGAGTTCGGTAACCTGAAACCTGTCTAACTTTTAAAACATGAAGCCTGTAAAGATCATTCTATCAATTTAAATTTAGGAACTGAATGTGGAGGTGGACCTTGAACTGGGTTTTAGAACATTCCGATGATGAATCAGTTGTAGAATCGTCTTATAAATAAGAAAAATGCAACTAAACCATCTGTAACTAAATCACATGTAACTAAGTATAATTAATTAACACGTAATTCAACACCAAATCACTCAGGAACTTTAAGATTTTTCTAAAAGGGCCTCCGGTAGTCGAAATTAGTTGGAATCGAAATAGGGTTAAAATTTATACTGAACAGCATGGTTTGCAAACGAATCGAAAAAATACTGCCAAAAAAAAGGTCGTCGCATATAAATTTGAACGGAAGAATTTAAAGCATAAATTTCAGAATTAGATGTTTCAAGAAAGGAGTTTTCAAATTAGCTTCATACCAAAAATAATGAACGACCATTAAAATGATAAATATCAGTAGTCGCTGACTAGACAAGGTCATTGTCATGGCAACGAATACATAATAGTGTCTCGACTCAGTAGATACAGGTTTTGTTGGGTAAATGTCTTCTCAATACCACGAGGCTAGCTTCGTAACAATAAAGATATAAACCGAACATCAGATTGGGTTACAATTTTAAAGGACATTTATCGGACCCAAATGAACAGATGAAAGTAAAACGGGTTAAACGATTTAAAAGTCAAATTAAAATGATAATGTCTGACCCAATATAAAACGTAATTCTACAAAAAAATCAAAAAGGATATATACAAGAAAATTAGAATAAAATTAGAAACACCATAATAAACAAAGAAATCTGTTGACATAAAATAAACAAAACTTCTCTAAATAGTTAGCAAACTATTAAGCTATAATTTGAAGACACCCTGTCTACAAATCTTCTATTAACTTATTAAAAAAAACAACTCATTATTTAAAAATCTCCATTTTCAATGCAATCGCTTTAACGCCCTGTCTACAAATCTTCTATTCAAACAACTCATTATTTTAAAATCTCCCTTTTCAATGCAATCGTTTTAACGCCCTGTCTACAAATCTTCTATTCAAACAACTCATTATTTAAAAATCTCACTTTTCAATGCAATTGTTTTAACCAACCCAACACAAATAAAAGAAATAAAACACCGTCTCAAAGCCGTGCATACCATGATATGAAATGGATACCCACTTTCCTTAGTCGCCAATTTATAAACATTATCAATCAATTTGTTTTTATTAAAGATTTATTAAGTTTACAAGCTGTTCATTACATCCAATTACAGGGTTATTGGAGATAATAACCCTGTAATTGGATGTAATAATAACACTTTTATTACTCCTTCATTAACACTTTTATTACTCCTTCATTATAAATGCTAGCGCGTTAAACAAATTGAATAATTATTTAATTAAATAATAAATAAAGAATAATTTGCCAAATTTCATTCCAATTAAGATGTTTTGAAGAATCATTAGATGTTAGTTACGTTTTATTGTGTCCTATTAAATTCTTTGTACATGTTTAATGAATGTAGCATTAGTGCTCCTGCACAAATATTCTTTTCGCTTAGGATTCTTGAAGTTGAACAAAAGGATCTGTTGTTCCTTTTAGCTGACCATGAGTGGAATCGTACGTTTATCTGTCCTTACTGTAAACACTAAAACTTACTGTGTCTGATCAGCTTTTTCTTGTAATGTATTTCATTCTAGCTATTGAAAAATTAGCTAGATTTTGAAGGAAAAATTTACGATATATTTTATAAAGCGGTGAGTAAATTTTTGAAAATTATCACTTCCGCACGAATTTAGACACGATTAGGTCACATGCGGGAACGGCAGGTGCTTCCCAGTCAGCCTATCAACACCCTCTATCACAGTCACGAGACCCGTTTCCCTTGTCACGTGGGTAGTCACGTGGCGCGCGTTTTAATGCACGTGGGCGTTCAGGATGCACTGTTTCGCTGAATCTCGTGTGAGTCAAACTTCGTCCCGGATAGAGCTTGGTTTGGATACTGCCATCTGTTTGGTTGGTTTGTGTCACGTGATGTGAATACTGTGATATGATTGGTTGTTAATTTGTGTCATGTGATGTTGGTCAAGTGATCCGGTCTGGTAGAGAGACATGAAATATTTTTACTTGAGGGAGGGGGAGTGGGAGAGGGCAAAACATGCAATTCAGATTTTGAGAATAGTTCTACGAAAAATGAAGCACATTTGCTGCCAGGCTGGACAAGGTGAGATTAGGAGATAAGAGAAACGGTTTTCAGTAAAATATTGTGCAATTTAAAGTAATTCGGTACGTTATTCCATTAGTATTAGCAAAAAGCTGTTCCGAGACAGTAAAAATCAAAAGTTAAAATCTCAACTTAATTTGGTTATAATCAATAATACATTCAACCATAACAATATGTAATGAGCAAGGGAAGATTAATGACTGCTCAATCACAATCACAATCAAACAATTGAACTTGAAGTTGCAGTAGAACTACATTGTCTAGTGTAACTGTATATTATAGTAGTCGCTCTCGGTCTATTCTGACGAGTGGGTTTGTGAGTTATCGTCCGCAACCGAATGCCCCCTGCACGTGGACCTAAATAATCAATATATTAGTAATAGTAAGTGATTTAAAGAGTAAACAAATTGTCGTTTGAGATCTCGATTCACGATACCCAATTTCCCCAGAAACTAATTTACATTTTCACTGTTTAAGGTTGTACAGATATATTGGAACTCACCGTAGTTATCATAAGAAAATGATGGTTTTATAAAAGGCATACGAGCCAGTACAATATACATCCACTGCCGGAGAAAATCTCTGAAACTGGTAACTGTAAAGCTGTAAATGTAGATATTACTGATGATGTTTAGCTGTAGACAGGACGTCGCAAATCTGGAAAATACTAGGAATTACCAATTAACAACAATTGATTAACGTGATGATTTTAATCATTTTGTTACTTTGTTGACTTTAAAACGAAATATATTTTTTTATTTTGTGGATGAAAAGTACTTCAAAAATAAAAATGTACTCATTTACCTGTAGAAGTTAACATGGAACGCAGCTGAAAGATTCTCAGCAACATACGGATCAGCCACACGGTACACCACATAAGGAAAAGTCGACAAACAGAAAACCACTGCAGTAGCAATCACCGTTACTATCCCCTGTGACCGTAAACTTTCTCTGCTCCTTTCTCTGCTCCTCTCTCTGCTCCTAGTCATTATTGATCTTGCTTCTTGAAGGAGTAGCCCAGTGGTGGCGACCACAATCAAGGAGGGGAGGATGACCATGATGAAACAGCAAGTTGGGGTGAGCCACCTCCAGATATGCGCTGAGAACCTGTAATCACAGTGGTATCTTCTGTAGTCAAACACAGTGTCATCCCACTCAACCAGGCTAAACATAAGGGGCATCCACAAGCAGCAGCCCCAAATTCCTGCACACAATCTACAAGTTCCTTTGGCGGTCCAGATAGAAGCACGGAATGGGCATTTCAATAAGTAAACCTTACCCGTGGTCATGAGACAGACCAGGTAGAGGTTAACATAGTAGCAGTAGTAGGAGATATAAGGCTCAATGAAACACAGCAGATCAGAGAAAATCCAACCATCAGCTAGCAAAGACACGAAATTGGGCAACACAAACGTTACAGCTAACACTAGATCACAAGCAGCAATATGTTCTATCAGGAGTACTATAACCTTGGGTAGTTTAATGGCCTTGTGTCCGAGGGAGGCGAGTAAGATCAGAGTATCCCCAACTAGAGATGAGAGGAGTATGAAAAGAAAGTAGGCTGCCCAAACGTATCTTGCCGGCTTGCTCTGGAGTCCGTACGTGGCTTTATCCGTGAAGTTTGAGGGTTTCATGGTTAACAAATCAGGGGAAAAAATCTTCACTAAGGTTTTGTATTCCCAACAAGAGAAACACCATTGTCGGCGGTGAGCTGTGCCAGTAGTGAGCTGTGCCAGTAGTGAAGACTGAAGGTTTCTTAAATCATTTCAGGGATGCAGTTCTAAATATAATAGCAGCTACTCATTATTATTATTGGCTTCGTCACACGGCTGTATCCAGGCTCCTCTTGTGTAGAAATAAAACTGTAACTGTATACTCTAACCCTTAGACTCTTAATATATTCAATAGTTGAACTTTATTATATTACAAAATATCTAGTTTTCAGCTCAGTACAAGATTCTGTTTTTTGGCTAAAGATTTGTTTGCCGAGTGGTTAATAAGTTAATACGGTCCTGGTAGCACCACAGGTAGAATAGGGGTTTGGGACCTTGTGTGACGTGACATCATGTTGTGACGTCATAAGACGTGACGTCATGTTGTGACGTCATAAGACGGGACGTCATGTCTGAACATGAAAAGTCACATGCAAAAGAAAAAGAAACAAAAAATAACCCAAATTTCCGTAGAAATGCTGTGCCAGCTCTACACCTTCTAACAATATTCTTTTCAGAGAGTTCTTCGCCACGGTCAGATGATGACAAGAAGGAGGTACCTGTGAAGCAGAGACGAAACAGAACCACCTTCAGCAGCGTGCAGGTAAGAGAGGAGTTTCACTTTCACTTTCACCAGTAGTATTCACATAGTGGCAGTGCCAGTGGCATAACGTATCAGATATAAGTATCACATTTGGTTTTTAGCTGGCTTGCACAGGTAGTCTAGCCACAATTTAATTGCACATTAATAGTTTTCAGTGATTTCAGACAGCAGTATAGAATTAATCAATGGTCCGCCATAATGTCGTCATGAGATTATTCCTTTACCAGTGATTGGGTGTAGCATCACTTGCGTTTGAAAATTATGTCATAGTTATTAAAATGTTCAGATTCCTATTCGATCATGCAACAAATCCAACTCTTCGGAACTCTTCCGAGAACCAAATTAGCAAAACTAGTCGTCAAAATTTTATCAAAAAGGAAAACACTTGTACTAAATGTTAAAATGTTTCAGCTGCACGAGTTAGAGCGAGCGTTCCAACAGAGCCACTATCCTGATGTGTTCACCAGAGAAGAACTGGCCATGAGACTAGACCTGACTGAGGCTAGAGTCCAGGTGTGGTTCCAGAATAGGCGGGCTAAGTGGAGGAAGCGAGAAAAGGGCATCATGAACCAGCAGAACACGCTCAGTGAGTTTTTATCTGATAATGTTATCTTGTCTGGTGCATAAATTTATAAGCTAGTGACTTTATCTGATGTAACAGATTATAACATTCAGAGGATAATACCACAAAGTTGTATCAAATTAATTGTGGTCTGCCTAAATCTGATCAAACTAAGATTAGTTAATTTATGTAGATCCGATCCAAACATGACCGATCTATAAATAAATCTGATCTATCTTATTCTGATCCAACAAAGACTAAATCTGATCTAGTCCCCTCAGGCTACAGAAGGTTCGGTGTTTCTCCCTACGCCTACTCCCCTTCCCCGCCTACTGATATTGCTGCGAAACGATTTTTACGTAAGTTTATTCAAATCTTATTTATTGTATTTTTTTGGGTCTTTTTTCAAATTCGTTATGCGTTTCCTTATTTTCACCCGTCCCTTATATATTGAGAATTTTGGATCTTCATGTTCATGATTACTAAAGTTTCTCTCATGAGTCTCAGCGTATCGACCTTGTGACTGTAATGTCAGACAATAGCTTTGCTAAATCACATCTCTACCACTACTTCATCACAATGATGTGGTTCCAATGTAAAAAGCTTACAACTCATGGCGCCCAAGTGTTGACACATTCTCTAATTTTCGGGTCGTACGAACGCATTATAAAGAAGCAATTCTGTATGAATGCGATTGTAAAAAGTGACTGCATTGTCTCGAGTGAGCGGTCTTGGCTGTGGCCGGCTGTAGTGTGGACTGAGTTGTTGTTTGATTGATAAAACTGTCAATTATCGCTAAATTCTACCGCACCACGTGACCGAGAGTTGTGTCTGGAAACAGTTTTGATAATTTAGAAAATTCCACCGAAGTACGGGGAGAAAATTTGTTGAATTAACAATTAGGATGAGTCAATTTCTGGTGATTATGCTCATCATAGAACAGTGTTACATGTCCAATTTAAAAGATTAATTGAAAATTAGCTCTAATCAATAGATAATGAAGGCGGAGTAAATAAAATTGGGCAAACTCCGCCCAGTTCTGTAACCATAATAACCGCTTGCTCTGTTCTCTCTGTTCTAATGCTCATGCTGTGTATCATCAACCAAGTTGAAACAATTTTGTTTCTTTGACGATCTGTACTACTCACAATCCGAACAATTAAAATGCCAGCAAATTAAGAGATTTGTAAAATGAACCGAAGATGTTTTGGAATGTTGTCTCCATAAACTATGTCCACTCTGTCTGCAAAATTCTTGATACCTGCTAAGAAAATCAGGGGTTTACTTCATCTGTTAAGTCTCTAACTCAACTGAGTTAGTCTCTAACTCAACTGAGTTAGTCTCTAACTCAACTGAGTTAGTCTCTAACACTCTAAGTCTCTTTATCTCTAACTGGTTTTATTTCAGCTTCACCTTACACAAACTGGGGACCCTTTGCTCCGACAGTAACCTCGTCCTTATCTTCATTCTCTTACTCTGTGCCAGGTAAAATTACTAAATTAACATTACAGCTACTTTCGTAGATTATATGTGTAGTTTCCCCATCTTTGCCTTGCGTCACTGATTCTTGATGACGGCAGTTCTATTTAACTTAATAACTTTACTGTGTATACATAAAACAATCCTTACAAAACGATTTGTATCGTTATTTTGTATTATAACCATAAAAACGTTTAGTTATCTTAAACTTTACAGCTGGTAACAACCACCCGTCGCTACCAGTGACGGCCGGTACTCCCATCACGACAACTACCCCGTCCTACCTCTCCTCATCCTACATCCTCCCTCCTTCTCACTCCTCCTGGCCTACATCTCCTACTCGATCCTACGCCACCTCTGGCCTGCCCACTCCTCGGGCTTACACCTCGCCTCCTTCGTAAGTAAAGATAACTATAATGTGTGGATCATTACATTGGAGTATTGGCCCTACGTATTCCGTTTTGTCTCCGGCAAGGACTATAAATTATTACGCTGGGATTTCTCTGGGTCGAAAAATCTTGAGGCAAAAATGAGGGTTGGAAGGGTTTATCGTTAATTAAAGCAGGCCATGAACTGTTAAATTAACGGTGAAGTTTAACCTCGTCATTCGCCAAAACTTCTACTTCGTTCATTAAATTTTATCATTGAGTCTGTTTTATTATCTTGTCTAGTGTCCACAAAACGTTTTCTAGCACCACACACAAAACGTTTTCTTGCACCACTAACTCGGCACCATCTCCAGGGTTCGCGGCTACACAGGACCCATCCTGAACTACAACTCCCACCTAATACCCGAGGACTACAACCAGAACCCCCGGATAAAGAAAGAAGAAACTTGTGTTTCAGGAGAAGAGCCCGCCTTCCCCTCCACCCTCCCCTCGTCCCTCCCGTCCTACAACGGGGCTCTCTCTCATTCAGACTCTCTGCTGGAGTCACAGCACCAGCTTTACCTCAGTAACTGTAACTCTCTGTCTTGAAGTGTCATGTGATCAAACTGTTTTGGTCTAACTAAACCATGTGATTTAAGGACTAGAAAGCCGTCGCGAAGCTAACCTTTGTAATCAAGACTTTTAGGATAGGTTGTATCTTGTATAGCGTCCTGAAGGTCTAGCTCAAATCTTAAAATCAGCTGCCAGCTCTGGTGTTGGGTGGCTATACTTTTGTTTCCCTGGTCATGACGTCACGGCTCTGACTGTTCGGTGCGCTCCCCCGTTTTAGGCTAAACGAGGGGAGCTCTGGTCACGTGACGAGGGGAGCTGAATTAGCAGCGGGTGTTAATTCCTAACAATGTATATTTACAATAATTTAATCTGCACTGAATTTCCTCTGTGTTGTCTGCGTGGTCTTCTCACCAATCAGGAGCCTGCATCCTGCTCTGTTGACCAATCAGATGCCAGGATTACCGTGACGTGACCAGTGGGATTCGTGGAACATGTCACGTGATTTTAGATGGGAGAGACTGAAACGTGACCGAAAAGGCCCAATGAGAGTGCTAGCTTGATCAGGACCTGCTGGCTAGCAAACTTGGAGGGGGTGTAGAGTCACGTGATCAGGTCAAGAATCACGTGATCAACATCCGTCAACTTGCCCACGTGATTAGTTGAGTCACGTGACACGCTGTCACGTGGGTTATAACACGTGGTTTTGGTGAGAAAAATCGGACTATGAAGAAGTGTGGGAATAGACAAGCAAAGACTATACAGGAATACTAATAGTCAAGTGGGCATCTGTGTAGTCATCCCAACTCAGAAAAACCCATTTACTGACCTGTTTTTCTCCAGCTTATCTGAATTCGAAGTCTTAAACTTCTTTAATTCTGTGGTTAACAATTTTTTGATAAAAAAGTAAGCAAGAAAAAATTGTTTACAGTTGTTTTAAGTAGTATAAAATAGAAGTGTGATTGTAAATTGAAGTTTTACAGCATACGTTTATTTATTTATTTATTGTAATTTATTTTTAACTATTTGTCCTGAAACGACCAATTTGCGGTTTTGCTTTTGTTTGAAACATTACATGTGGCCGCCGCAAAAGCTAATTTCAAAGTAATTCCGGCACACTAATTTATCGTGGTTATAAGTGAAAATCAATGGCTAAGCTCGGAACAAATCAAACCAGTAGATGAAAACCAGCCCTCAGGGGTCTCTAGGGAATCCCCAAATAAGAGCCTTGATGACTTTTATTAAGAAAGTGAGTTCCGACTTTGTTCTGATAATGAAGTAAGTGACGTGATTTTTGGAATGGTCTTTGAAGGGTCCGGAGTCGCATTACATAAAATGGCTGTTAGAACAACTAAATACAGCTATGGGCCGCCTACGAGGCGTTAGCGATCAAATGCTATTATTTTGCCGCCCAGTAACATAATCCAAATAGAATTGATAATATCTGCGTGATATTGCAGACATTACCTGTTCATCCTGTTCCTGCCTTTACCGTCTGTTCTACTTCCACATGCTTGATGATGGTCCATTTATATTTGATTGCGAATATTGCAAGATATCTGCACAAATCAAAGCTAAGTGACAGTTTAACTCCATTAAATAATGCACCTTACCTAAACGCACTGTCCTTTCCTTTGATATCGACTTGGATGACGAAATAAAGTGGTTATTTGAAAACTTGAAGACACCTTGCCCCATGGATTAACCGTCACAGAAAGGACTTCAAAGAGTCCCCACCCCTTGCAAGGCCCCGGGACGAGCATATAAAGGTGAGGATCAAAACAGTAGAATCAGTTGTCGAGAATAAGCCTCAGTTCACCTAGTATTATAGACGTTGCTGCTGAAACCCTCCTAAGATGTGTGGAATCAACCAATGCCTTCTCCTTTCCATCGGTCTGGTCCTGCTCCTTCACTCCTCCACCCAGCTATCCACCTACAAGGCTAGTAAGGCTAGTAAGTGCCCCGAAACTCCTAGACCCGTGAACAAGTCTATCAAGGCTTGCTGGGACTACACGAAGTCACTGGAGACGACCCTGGTTGACAAGGCTAACGTAAACACGGACGTGTGTCTGGATACACTCTTGGACTATACTAACCACCAGCTCGGAGTGGAAATCATGAAGACCTCCAAGATAATTTACTGCTTTGGCATCTTCCAAGCTAGCAAATTCTCATGGGAGGAGTTCACAAGCTACATCAATGGGATTTGGACATCCAAGTCAGAGATCATGGAGAACCCCGACATCTGCGTGCTGGACGGAGACTACAAGGATCTCGATTGCATGGAGATGGATTTGACTGACTTTAATGCACTTTATATAGCTGTTATCAAACAGACTAGGCTGCTTGAAGGAATTTTCATGGGTACTCATGATTATTAGAATATTAAAATTAGATTTTAACCCTCTGCTGTTTTGTAGTGGAGAGGAAGTCGAGCTGACAGATTGAATTTTCCATCAGTTCTCCTGGGCAGTTTGGTTTATAACCACGACTTGTTTAATTTCTCTTTTAACTGTTTTGGATGAAGTAAGATTGTACGTAGAGTTGCAGAATTTGAAGCTTTCAATCGCATGATTTGAAAATATATTTGACCATTTTAATTGGAAATTTAAAAATAAAACACCAATAATAGAGTCGTCGAATTAAAAAAAATTATTGACAATATTCAGTTGCAGTAAAACTATAAATTGATAATTTGGACAAAATCGTGCAGTTAAAAACGATATGCAATCAAGTATAATCTGATCTATATTGGTATATGAACAATCAAACAGCCATGTTAATTGACGATGTCAATCCTTCGCAGTGTTAAAAACTTCTATGTTTTGAATTGTTGTAAAACCCCGACTTTAGCAGTTGCAATTGCATTTGTTTTAATCGTGGACAGAACAATGAACAAAAATCAAATAGATACGCAGATAAATATTCTGATTACGAAATCTTAAAGATTCTGATTACGAAATCTTAACCTCATAAAATGAATTGGAAGCCGAACTGACTAGAACTTGTTGATCTGGTGAGTCTTCTCGATCCTGTTTATGCTAGAGTTCCTTGATGTGATCTTGCTGCAGTTTCTTGATCTTAATCATTAATGCAGTTCTTTGGTCCTGCTGTAATTCCTTGATCGATCCTACTACATACTTACAGTTACATATATATTATTACTGGGCGGCGCTCAGCCTGTCATTCCGCCGAATCTCTATGTTATTCCGCCTGTCATTCCGCCGAATCTTTAATCTATGTTTATAAACATTGTAGCCTGGGGTCCCCAGGTACATATATTAAAAATCCAAGCGTGCTAAATCACTCTACACTTAACACTCGAACTTTAAAATTTTTGTAAAAAGGCCCCCGACAGCTGAAACCAACCAATTTGAATCGATATATTTTTAAACGCTGATTCCAAATCTGCAACCTCCCAGAAAATCTTACTATTACTAGAGGTGGTATAATTCAAACAAATGGTGCGACCTAGCTCGCGACATTAAGTGATTTGCACGCGTGGCACATTCCAATCTTCAAGCAGCCAGCACGTGACACAATTCAGCCAATCACAAATCAGACGACAAGAATCTGCAAAGTTAAAGTTGCAAACTAAAACTTTTGATCGGCCCAAAATGAGATTTTTCTGGAGATTTTGAGATAACTCAAAATCTACAACAATGTACAATGTCCCAAGTTTTCTTCCTGGGGAGGAAACGTTACTTTTACAAGACGAAAATTTTGCAAAAAAAAGCGGACGTCTCTAGCTCTTTTACTTTCCAAGTTAGGCTCCAAATCCAACTAGTAAGGTTTCCTAGGCTGACAAAAAGTTAAAATGCTCTTTCATTAGCGAGTACAGTTATCGGCAAAAAAAACTTGTCATACGTTGTATGAACCGCCATGCGTTACCTGGGGACCTCAGGCTATTACGTTCATAAACATGTGTTTCTACCTTACTGGGCCGCGCTCATCCTGTCATTCCGCCGAATCTCTATTCGGTTTATGAATATAATAGCCTATTATGTTTATAGATGAACATAATAGCCTGAGCGAGGTCCCCAGGTATTGGTAACCATTTAGTGAAACGACAATGAGGGTCACGATCGACGTGATACAACAAAAAACTGTTTCTATTTTATTTACTGGGCGGCGCTCAGCCTGTCATTGGTCATTCCGCCAAATCTCTATTTATATGAGTATTTGCTCTATCCAGAGCCCTTGGGCTTGCAGTAGTGCGCGCCCGCCCCACTTGACTTGTGAAACAAGCGCGCCCGCTGCGGGCGGGCGCCGCCCGCATGCGTTACCTGGGCCGGGGACTTCAGGCTATAAGTATTACTATTACGTTCATAAACGTGTGTTTCTACGTTACTGGGCCGCGCTCAGCCTGTCATTCCGCCGAATCTCTATTCGGTTTATGAACATAATAGCCTATTATGTTTATGAACATAATAGCGCGCCTGAGGTCACCAGGTAACTATTTAGTGAAACGACAATGGGGGTCACGACGTGATACAACGAAAACTGTTTTTATCTTATTTACTAGGTGAATATGATTATAAATATAAATATAATAGCCTGGGCTCCCCAAGTAACGATCTTATGTGAATTGTGATAGAACCATATTGCATATATATTATATATGCAGGATCTTACTAATTCGCTCGCCCAAAAATTTCACGTGACTTTGGTTTTTATGGATAAGGTTTTGCAGCCGTACAAAACGGTTTTACAAAAACCCTAATCTTTATAATCCCAAACCTAACCCTAAGTCTAACAGTAACCATAACCCCGAAGCTAACCATAACTGAAACTCTTACCACAACCCTAATACCTAACCCGGATGATGATTAATCACTCTACACTCGACTGTCACGTGACATTTTTAACCTGTTCTTTAGCTGGTTCTGAACGACTTTTCGAAACCCTAACCCTCTAATCTGATCACAACCCTAACTCTAACCCTAACCTTAACAAAAACATATGCTGAAACCCTAACCTTAACGAGAAATTAGACTAACTTCCTTATACGGTCATATCACGTGATCGAGACAGTTTTTTCGCCAATATCTCGTCAGGGCCGGGAGCATTTTAACCCTATGTCATTGGGGGTGACTCGGAATCAGCGTCCGAAAATACATCGATTGAAGTTGGTTACAACCATTGGGGGCCCTTTTAGAACAGTCTCGAAAATTGACTGTAGAGTGATTTAGCACGCTCGACCTAACCCTAACACCTAACCCGAGCCCTAAACAATCGAATTCATGTTTCACTAGCCTGTCACGTGACCAAAATGGTTTTTTGAGCCGTTTTTTGGGCTGACGGACAACTAGGAATCTTTAATTTTACCTAGTTAACTAATTAACATGCAAGCTTGGGAAATCCAATCAGCTCCGACAACTAGGAACCAATCATGACATATCCCCGACAACTAGGAACCTCTGGAGAGACTTTAAACATTCAGGTGTCCACTGATTTAACAGCTGTGTATATATTTATGCACTCATTAATTAAGACAAAGATTTTTTTCAAGATAATGATAGTTCAAACCCAACATAATAATTACATACAGAATACATTAATCAATATCAATCTCATGGCCAAAGTATTTGGCAATCTCAAACAGATAGTCAACCTTGCTAGAGCAATCCGAGTATTTGGAACAGATCTGGAACAACTGGTCATTGGAAGTTTTCCTTCCAATCCTTTTCTTAGAAGGAGTTTTTCCAACACCCAGTCGATCGATATGGTAATCAGTGATCACCTGCTGCTCCCGAATAGCACGGAAGTACTCTTGCACGGTCGGCTTGGGTCGATTCGCCCTGGATTTCAATCCACGATGAAAACCCTCGACCATGTTAGAGGTCCGGGGAAACTCCGGATCCTCCAACGTCTTGGAATAGTGATTCCAAAGGAAACTTGGGAGGAACCCTTTCCTCACTGTCGACTTCTTATCAGAACAATATAAAACTTTAAACTTCTTTGAAATGTTCTTCTGAACAGCTTGATAGAGATGGAAGTAGCAATTGCTAATCTCCCACCCTGGCAAACTGTTCTGAATCG